TCAGATGCCACAGACTTGGGGCTATTCAATTTCATCAAGTGGTCCCAAACCTGTTCTTGGCTTACAGGGGGAGGATTCATGAGATGATCTTGGATGCCAGCTTTGAAACTGCTTCCTGAAGTTATGAGTGAGTGTAAATAAAATCTGCTGCTGCTGGAGTGGAGGTCCAGGGGCAGGCACAGAGGTGGGGCTGGGACCCTGTGGTGGCACATACAACGTGGCAGGGATGAGGCCCAGGTACAAAACTCCATGGCTGCAGATGTCAAGAACTGTACCCTTGCCTCAACAAATAAGAAATGAAGGAAAGGCTTTGGGCTTGTCAGAGCCAAAGCTGTTATTTAGATACATTTCTGGTGATAAATCTGAGTGAGAGGAAGGTGCAGAAAGCTCAGGCTCCTGAAGGCACATCTCTGAGGACTGGATTTTTTTTGTTTGGTGGGCAAGATGTTTTGTTTGGTGAAACGAAGCACAATGGCTGAACATTAAGAGGGTACAGAAAGCCATTGTTGAACTTATGACTTCTACATCCACTCATCCCTCATGGAGATATTGCTCACAGAAGTCTTCTAGATTGTTCTGCACCAGAGCCACCATGGTTACCTGTGTCTGCAGCTGCCTGGGGCAGAAGGCCTTGAGCTAAACAGTACTAAATACTGACTTCTAATTTGCCAAGAATAATTAGAGGAAGTATGAAATGAATTTTTAGATAATATTGAAGTCACTGCCAGAGACGGAAATGCCAAAAAATTTCTTGGCAAGAAAAATCTGTTCATCACTAAGTAAATCTTTTCCCAGAAAACCACCAGCCTGAGGCTGTTGGACAATTTCCTGTGTTCTGCAGGGGTGAAGGATGCTGCAGGGAAGGGCATGCTGAGGTTTCCTGCTGGGACAATGGCTGGTGGGACCCCCTCATCACAGCCCATTACGGCACCACTCAAGCACTTGTGTGTAAGATTGGCAAGTTAGATACAACCTGGTCTATTGGGAAGATTTGGGATTTCCTTGATCCAGGGGAAGATTTGGGATTTCCTGTATGTGGCTAATGAATGCCCCTGCCATGGAACACAGTGCTCTGCATGCTTTGGGAAGACTGGGAGTGTCCTGCCTCTGACCATGCCACAACCAGCGATTGCTACAGCCTGGCCACGGGCTTTAGGTGCCTGTCTTGTTATTACATACCTCTGTATGCCACCTGTATTGTGTGCCAGATGGCAAGCAGAGGTGACAGACAGTGTTTGGTGGCATTGTATGAGACCAGATGTTATCCGTGAGAGGGTTTCCTTCTTCCAAGATGCAATGGTGCAGGGTGCTGAGCTCTTAATTCCTCTGAAATTGAGATGAAGATAACTTACAATATTTCAGGATAGTTTTTTGATCTAAATAATTTATTTAATAATTATTTTGCAACTATTTGATTTAATATTGAATGACTGTATCAGAACTAGACCACACTGGCTGCTGCTGCACAAGGGCCAGGCCGGTCCCTGCAAGTTAAAGACAACCTGGCCAGAAGGAAGAGAAAGCAAGGTCACACAAATGTTTTGGGAATCCTATCTCCCTCTCCTGTGTGCCAAACTAGGGCTCTCTTCCCCAAATACAAGTTTCTTTCTAACAGGTGCACAGACACAGTCTGTGACCTTACCTGAGGTTCAGAGTATGCATATGATGTAAAGAAATTCTCTAGTCCTATCTGCAATGAGAAGTCAGTGGAAAAGTTGGGGTTGGTTTTAATATCTATGTGTTCTTGGTCACAAAAACATTATTTCACTGTATTAGAACTGCTGACATTTGTTTAAGTGTTTACATACCAACTTAAAATTCTCTTGGTAGTTATTGCCAGGATCCTAAATGGTTAAAAGATGGGGCTTAGTCTAGAGCCTAGACTATAAGTGTAGATATGATGGTAGGCTTCCTGTTTCTTTAAAAAGCCTTAATTTATATCAGCTCGTTTGACTTCCTTTACAAGTAATACCAGCCCACTGCTTTTTACATAGGGGATGAAATATTGGCAGTGTCTGGAGACCAGAGTTACTGCATATTGGATTGCCGAGTTTGTTTACATTTTCTCTTGTGAAACCAGCTGCTAGGAGGATGCTTGACCTTTTTCCTGGTAGTGATCTAACTCAAAAGCATGGAGCTTCACAAATATGAAACCCCAAGGTGATAGTTGGTGTGTCTTTGCTACAGGGACTTAAATTTCAAGGGTTACTAAAACGGAGCTATTTTAGGAATGCAAACCCAGGCTTATAAGCTCCACATGATCTAGCAATGTGTTTTTCTCCTTTACATAAATCAGAGCTGTACTTTCCCTCCCTGGAGCCTGTGAAACATCCAGCAGCATATGAGCAAGAAAAAGGCATGCTATTTCTGACTAGTTTTAAAACAGAAAGAGGTCCCTGGTGAAGGACACAACATGGGTATTCATTCCTGGGTGCATCATCCCCATGGACCAATTTGATTTAATTTTTCAAATAAGTCCCCTTTGGAACTTTTCTTTCACTGTTTTGAGTGCCCTCACTGCCTCTGTGGGCTTGGGAAGTGCTCAGTACCCTGCAGTGGCTTCTGAAAGTCCAGCAGGTTTCTTCACTGGGCTGTTTCAGGCAGGATGGGTGATGTAAAAGTGTGTGCTACAGCCTGGGGTCTGTGCCAGGTGCTGGAGCCCATGGCTTGCCCCTGCCTGCTGTGCAGTGGAGCTAAGGGAGCCCAGCAAGGTCCATGCTGCTGGGAGCTTGCTGCAGGCAGCAGGGATCACTGACAGAAGCTTAGCTCTAACTTTTTAAAGCTGACTTAGCAACAACTGCTTCACTCTCCAGTGTATGTCAATAAAATCAGTCAAGGTTTATATCTGACCTAAATCTATGTGACTGCTGCAGAGCTGGTACCCGCTTGCACCAAACAAGGGCTTGCACTGCTGCATCCAGCAGAGAGGTCCCAGATCAGCTGAGAAGCCCAAGGACTTGGCATTGTGGGTGCTCGTGGATAGGATACAAAAGGCTTAAATCCTGGCACAGCTGAGACTTGGTACACCAGCTGCAGAGAGACACATGACCTCCTGCTCTGCTAGACTGTGTCCCCCTCTGCAAACTCTTCCCTGTGACATCCTCAGGTTGCACACCTGAAGATGTCCATGCTGGCCCATGAGTGACCATGCTGGGCAGGTGGGCACCTCTCCCACCTCAGGTTTCATCACTGCTGGGTAGGAGCCAGCTGAGCTGTGTTTAAGCTGGGAAAATCCAGATGAAGTAAAACATCTGGTTTTTGCCAATTAGTTCAATGGGTAGAACAATGGCACAGGGAACAGAAAGCCTGGAGTTTACACTAAGAAATCTTAATGAGACAAAAAACACTGCCAGTAGGTAAGTTAGATAAGATCTTTGTAATTGCATATCTCCTTGTAGATCCAGTCCTAGGGCAAAACTGACAACTTCATATCAGTAATCTCTGTGGCTGTTTAGAGACATAACTACACACTGGGTTGACCTGTGGGTTTGCATCCCAAACCAGAGAGTGACACAGCTGAAACTGTGGTAGAGTGTTAACATTGCCTAACACTTCCCACTAAAGTTTCTCTTTCTTTTGACTTTGCCAGTTTTCAACTGTTGGGGCCAAAATTCTGCATACCAGGTGTTTGTCTCAGGCTGAGATAATATAAAAAATTTCAGCCAAAAAATGTGTTCCTATTGTGAAGGAATGAGGTAAAGGGAGAACTCAGGTGAGCTGCCCATCCAAGAAACTCTGGAACAGTTTCCTCTGTGTGGCTCCTAGAACCTGACTCTGGGAGCCAGGTCTCCATCTCTGCCATTCCACCATGTGTCAGGGAGCAGCTTTCTGCCTGCCACAGCTCAAGGACTCAAATAAGACCAAGCCTGTGCCCGCACTCCCATTCCAGCAGCTGAAGCATCTGAGATTTCTCAATTATGATGGACACCTGCCCAATTTTGGGACTGCACAGTGATTAAGACTGTGCTGCTCTGGGCACCCCAGAGTCCTGAAACAAAAGAGGAGAAGCAGTTTGACTCTTCCTTTCCCAGACACCATGCAGTGCCAGAAGGAAGGCACTGATCTTGAAGGAGGTGCAGGAGATAGCAAGCAACGAGTCAGACCAGTGCATTGATTTTATTTCCAGGACTTTCAAAAAAACTGCTGCTCCTCATCCTGTCCTTCCCACCTGGGGCAGAATGGGCTGTACTCTTCAAAGGAGAAACCAGAAAGTACAGACAGGGCAACCCCAGCTGGTGTTCATTGGTTCTGCCCCACCACCAGCATCCAGCCTATATCCTGCTTAGCTCTTCAGTCACTGCCTTCCCACTTCCCTGTATGCTGGGTGAGGTTGATAACTGCTTTCAGGTGGCAGAAAGGTGGCAGCTTTGAGCCTTCAGATACCAGAGAGCACCACAGGTAGTACCCAGCCTCCTTTGCTCCTCCTCCTGTGCACCCATGCTTTGAACATGCAGCCTGTCCCTTGCCTGTGCACCCCATCTGCTGTAATCCTGCTCGGTGTGGGCAATGTCCCAGAGCAATGCTGGGTGTAGGAGAGAGCTATTTCCTAATACAGATAAAAAATGCCATTATCAAGTCAACTGGACAGTCTGCCAGCATGGATGAGTTTGGCAATAAGTTTTCTCTTGTTCTTTCTGGTTTTCTTTCCTGTTTGCCCATGACTATATCTTGGCTGAAATCCTGCTTGGTGGATTTTGGAGAACTTCAGTACTGCACCCAGCCAGAAACAAATGCAGATATGACCATGGCAGCTATGGGCTGTCATCAAGGGGTCAACCCAAATGCCCACCACCAGAAAGTAGCAATGATGCAGATTATTTCAGAGGATACTGAGAAGATGCAGCACCAATGGAAAATCTAAGTCTTATTTCTCTGAGTAGACATATGCACCCTTGAATGTGCTACTTAATTCTATCTACTGCATGTAAGAGTGCTGAATACTGCATCAAACCCAGCTGGGGAAGAAAACAGAAAGAGAGATCATTAGAGTGCCCAAGGACTTGTTCTCAAGGCTGTATGTGCTCTTGCCTTCCTCTCTTTCTTTTTGATCTGTCAGCTTCTTTGGCTGTGCTGTCGGTCCAGCCTTGCCCATTCATGCATTCATAGTTTATCCAATTATTGCATTACTGGCAGTGAGGAAGTGCAATAGACTCTCTCCTACCCACTGCTAAGAACAAATGGCAGGGAAAAGTGTGTATGTGTGTTTTGTGCGTGTCTCTGTGAATGCAGATTGCTTGGAACATTCTCTAAAGCTGTATGGTAAATTACAGAATATGCTAGGTAGGTAAAAGTGGGTAGGAAGGATTTCTTGCTTGAAAGACTCTATTTAGGGAAAACAAGTTCTATTAATTAAACACATTCATTAGTGGTTTTTGGGGAGACTTTTTGGCTGAATTCCTTACAATTTCCGGCTTGCTTCTACTTCTGCAGAATGATCCTTTGTGCAGAAAACTTTCCTGATCAACAAATTTTTTAAAGAGGTCCTGAAGAATTACTGGTACAAGCCTGCCATTTCTCCTAACGCTGGTCACACTTCAGAGCTGAGGCATCATCCCTCAAGTCCCACTCTAACACTCACCTGCCTCAATGCTCCCTCCCACTTGCTCTTTGAAATCATTGTGATCCCCAGTTTTGGGTCCAAAATTGCTTTGATAGTGGTGCTGAAATCACTTTCCAAACATAATTTCTTTGCTGTGTTTTGGCCATTGCTGTTGGTGGGCTGGTGAGGTGTCAAGCATCACTGACTCTGGAATCTGAGTAGCAACCTTTGCTTTGGATCAATTTCTAAATTGTCTCACTTTTGGGCCTCAGGGACCCTTTCTCACCCAGGCTGTGCCATTAACAGTGCCTGCTGGGACTGGAGGAGGTTCACAACCACCACCACATTCATATAATGACAGTGAGAGCTGAGGAGGCACAAAATAACAAATCCAGGGACTTCAGCTCCTTCCCTGGCATTCTCCTCTGTCCTGCCTCTGCTGCATCACTGCTCTGGTGGTCAATCCCTGCAGCTGAGGTGCCTTGGAGGCGCCCAGTGCCCTCTCTAGGGGTAAACCTGCGTGTCCTCTTTGCTCTGCCACTGCAGAAAATGCAGCTTATTTGAAACTGTGCAGAGACCTGTTCCTCTGTGCCCACCACAGTATTGCCTTTCTGAGACTGACAAAATCTAGCTCCTCCAGTGCATTTTCCTTAGTCCTTTCCTGTTAGCAGCTGATGATTAGAAGAGCTAACACACACACCTGGCACTCCACTGCCTTCCCAACTCAGGTCACAGGCTCTTTACACTGCTTTCTTTTGATCTTAGAGACATTTTACCAGTCTCACAGCTTGGAAGTTTGACCTTGAGCCGACCAAAGTTGTATTACCAGAGAACTGGGATAGGTACTCAGTGATTTCTAACATCAGTAGGATTGTAAATGTTCCTGGAAACACTTTTAAAACAAATGTTGGCTAGGTGAAATCCCTAGATCCTTAATATGTGTAAGAGACAAATCCTGGTAGGATTTTCCAGCGATCCTTTTTAAGATCTCTTACTGAGCACACCTCTGTGTTTGTGTTTGCAGAGGAAACACCTTTGGGACACTGAGGGACAAAGTGAGGACATGAAATATTTGCTTGTTTGCAGTATAGAGTTACTGCAACCTGTGGTGTGATGTGAGCAGACAAAGGGGAAGATGACCTTTTGATTTTGTTTTTCTTGCAGCTGCCTGCAGTATTTCTCATTTCCATCCTACAACGTGCTCACTTCTACCTTGTGGTCTACTCACTTCTGTCTGAAGAGAGATTGAATGTATATAATTGAAGAGCTGGTTGCTACCAAGGTGAAGTTTTTATGCCTGTCACCTCAGAAGAAAAAAATCATCTTAAAAAATGAAATCTGAAATGCTCTGGGACAAATCATATTCTCAAAAAAAACCCCAAAACCAACCCATATATTGTTATAGGATCCATTATTTTTTATAGCAGAGTTAAAAATAATTTAGATGTTGATCTGACTTGTAGGTGACAGTGAGAATTTGCAGCTGTGGGAATTAAATCCCAGAGGCCAAAAATTATACTTGCAAAAAACCTAATCTGAAGCAAGAATGTATATAAGGAGGCCAGAATAAGTCTGAGATGAAAACCAGATTTCATGTCTGATGACATCTTTAGGCTTCTGTCTTTTTCCAGGAGAGAAAAGACCAATGAGTTCAATAGCAACTGGTAGCTCTCTCCTGGCCATTTTAAAGTATTGCTGAGCACTGAAGCTCTTAAACGAGATTTATTGCATCTTCCAAAGTAATGTACAGTGGATCCTCTGCCGAGGATTTACATGTCTGTGGAATATTTCTTCAGTTACATAGTTATCAAATTGTTAATAAAAATGCTACCCAGTCAAAAGCAAACACAAACTAGCTTAGCTATTATTGAGAGAATTATTTGAAAACATATAATTTGTCTGTTAGGGAGTATTTTGTTTTGGGTGATTAAGCATGCACAGCTTGCTTCCTGATTCAGCAAGAAGATCAGTATCAAAAACTCATTTTGGAAAACAGACCAGGTGAAAGCAGTAGTCTTCATTTTAAAGCAGAAATGGCAAATATGGTTCAGGTCAATATGACCAAGTTCTGGACACTCCTCTAAAAATAAGGAATTTTGCTAAGGTTATATCTTATCAGAGTCTGGGATACATTGAGACAATGTTGTTGCTTCAAGACTTGCCAACCAATTTTCAGACAAATGTTGAAATCCTCAAGGGCTCTGTTAAACTCTCATAATTTTCAACACTGAAATTGCATCTTGCAGAGGTGAAATTGCCTTCTATCTGATGAACATCTGTCTTCCTTTGATCTAAAAATAAACTGTCGGAGCCCCAGGCACCCATCACCACGCTGCTTCATCTCCTGAGGTAGAAGGATGCTGGAAGGGAAAGGGACACATCAGTGCTGGGGGAGAGGGGACCTCTCTACTGGTTTGAAAGCAAAACCAGTAAGAGACTCCAAGTCAGTAACACAATTTAATAGGAAGAAAGAGAAAAAATAAAATACATGCAATAATACAAAAGAAAAACCACCGACAGAGTCAGAATACAGCCTGACACCCTGTCAGTCAGGGTGTTGGTAGCAGTCCCTATAAATGGTGGCTGCATCCTCCTGGATGACAGATGTGGTTCAGGTGAAGCAGTGCTCCTGTAGAAGGTGCAGTTTTCCTCCAAAGGTCCAGCGATGATGTGGAACAGGTCCGACTTTCCTCTGGGATCCAGTGGAAAGGGCTGCCTTCGCATCCCAAATCCCAGTTTTTTATCTAGGTAGGAAAGGCTTGGCTCCTGCCCCTGGCTGGAGCATCTCCCAATGGGATGATGTAATCTTATCAGTCACACAATAGACTGAATGGCCCATTAACAGAATATATCTTCTTGAGGAAGGATGGGTTGTGGAAAAGATAAAGATGACCTTCCCCCTGATTTTATCAGATGGCACATCAGCAGAGGGATCGCCACCCCTCCCCCTTTTCAACAGATGGTGATAGAATACACATTTTTGCATTGTAACCCAGGACAACCCCACTTCCCACCAGGCCAGCAGAGAAAAGCACCCTGCAGCCCTTTGCCCTCCACAAGGAAACCCAGCACCAGCTTTAGGTCACATCATAGTTGGTGTCAGGAGTTGTTTGTAGTATTGCAGGATGCCAGCTGTGTGTCATGAACAGTCACTTACCAAAGAGTCCTTGGGTCAGAGCAGAAATACGGAGTCTTCTGGAATGGTTCTGTTGGAATCCTGAAGCATGGCAGTTTTGAACTTTCTGTGATTTCTGACACTGACCCCCAAAAGAACACTGCTTTTGACAAGGCATCCTACTGCATCTCAGCTCCATGCCATTAGGAACCCTGCATGTTCCAGGTAATGTACATACTGATCTGTGAGTGCACAGCTTCTGGGCAAGGCTGGATTTAACCCTGTGCTGAAAGTTTGCTCCATTGCCTGTCCTTTGCCAGCTAGAAAATACCAAAGAACTTCCTTAAAGATTTCTTTGGTTATTCCACATTTTGTGACAGACCAGTTCCAAACCAGGTCACAGATCTGTGACTTCACAGCAGCTGGTCACAAGTCCTTATTTTTTTTCCCATAGGTAAAATGCCTGTATTGATTTCCAGTACATGCTTTGTTCTGACAAGATTTCTATGGCCGTTGAGTTGCCCAATGAATGGTGGGTTTTTTAAACACATCCCTATTAAAATTGTTGATGAAGATGGAACTTACATTAAAGCAGTTTGCAGAGAACACCAGCCNTTTTGTTCTCATATCCCTATTAAAATTGTTGATGAAGATGGAACTTACATTAAAGCAGTTTGCAGAGAACACCAGCCTGGTCATGAATCAGCATGTGGGTGCCAGGGCATTTATTTCTGATGCTGTCCTGCTGTGTGAGGCTGGTGCTTAGGACTGTATTTTTTAGCATCTGTGAATTATGTTTTCTTTGAGACCTTCAGTAAGTGGACTAGAACACTGCTTAGACTTAGGGAGACAAAATCTGTACCAACTAATTTTCCTCCAGCATTTCTGCAGAACGATCCTTCCCCTTCATGTCAGCTTTATTCAAAGCTCTGGTAAGAGAGAACTTCACTGTTACTTCTTAGATTGCAGCTGCTAATGCCAAAACAAAGTATTTAAAACATATATATACACACATATATATATATATCTATATATATATATATATATCTGTGTGTGTGCTGTATTTGCTGATTTGGTGAATGGGAGTAATGGCAGTAGCCCATTTTTGGGTGTGTGCCCTTAGCTGAGTGGCACAGTACAGCACTCATGTTCTTTTCTCTATTTTGTCCCTTGTGAAGCCCTTATAAGTTTTTTTCAATCTTTTGGTAAATTAAGATGCCATTAATATTTTTTTTCTCTAGTCAACTGTGTCCTTTTTACTTCTGCCAGTAATTCTGACAAGGCACACTTAATTTGCTTCATGTATTTCTGCTCTGCCTTGCATCCCTGATAGAGGCTTGATAGTTGCCTGTGTATGGAGTTCAGTCTCCTCTCTGCTCACTTAAATATGAGGCTTGTACCTTGTCTCAGGCACATCTAAACATCTGCTTTTAGAACCAGGAGATTTAACTGTTGAGAGGTTTAGATCAGTGCTCATAATTATTGTGTGCTAAGTGCTCATTTTCAACAATTTTTTTCAATAACAATTGATTTTTTTAGATAAAACAAGATGCTGTCTTTCCAAGATGCTTGAAACAGATAAGCATATATATCTATATATATAGATATAGATATAGATATAGATATAGATATAGATATAGATATAGATATAGATATAGATATAGATAGATGATATATATTTGAGGCCTCCATGTTTATTAAACACATTAATTGCAGTTGATGTTACTGAATCACCTTTGCTCTTAAGCTTTGTTTTTTAAAAAGACCAATCACATATTCAAGCATTAACTAAATGTGAAATATTTTGTCCCAGATAGTGACCATCACAAATAAAGTTTAACTAGAACCAGAGCTATACAGCAGAAAATGTTCTGCACCATCATTATATAATGCCATAAACTCCCTGCTTTTGGCTTAGGACTCTAATAGTGTGGAAAAGGCTGGGACCAGTGGCATTCCTGTTCCTGACTGTCCTGACAGAGCCAGACTGGTGTCTTGTCACTGAGTCACCTGCTCTGCAGCAGCTGTGAGGCAGTAGGTTTACAGGATCTATTTGCACTTTGAATTAGAAAGACACAACCTGCTCTGTCTTGTGTGAACAGCCATAGCAAGAGCAGAATCCTGCATGATTCACCAGCATGCAGATCCTGCTGAGCAGTGAGTCTGTGGACTGGCTTCTCATGAATATTATTTAACCAATTTATAGTGTTTGCATGGAAATATAAGCCTTGACAGGAGAGATGTGAGACCCCTCATCACTTCTGTTTGACTTGTTGCAGTAGCAAAGAGCTGAAGTAGTTATCTTCAGGATGAGATGATTGACTGGAAGTGATTTTTCACCAGGTGACATTTGCAATAATTACATGGTGCTTTTCTTGCTTGGGAGGAAATAATCAGCACGACCTTCAAAAGGATCTATGGAAAGCAGCTCTTGCAAAAACAATTATTTGAACCTCCTACTACAACAGCTCCTAGTACAGCTAGGAAATGAGGGGAGTGTACTGCATGTATGGGAGCTGCTGCTGGCTGCCAAAAAGACAAGCAGAACCAGGAGGGAGAAGTGGTAAACTCGAGAGAAATCAGATTTCCTTCTGAAATCCTG